ACTAATTAGTATGACCCTTGCTAAAGCTATAAAAATGAAGCAAGTTATTGCTATATCTTCCAAATTATGAAATGGGCTTATAGCCTTTAATGAGTCTAAGCTATCATATAATACATCAGTAAGACATTTGCTTGAACCTGGTGAGTTAGAAGGTAGACAAATGAGAGTGACTAATATGAATTAGTCTCCACAAGTTTATTATATTCATAAAGCTTTGGTACAAAAAAATCAACCTATCTTATATTGGCTTGAAGATAAAGAGGGCAATAGACCAAAGTGGTCTTTTGTTAGAGAAGAGCTTCAAATCATTCTTTCTAATACAGAATTGCCACCCCAATGGGTGCTCACAAGTTAAAAAATTTAAAATATAAAAGATGCTCATGGAATGCTTCAAGTTGGTGTTTCTGGCCTTTTACAAATTAAGAAATTCTTCTGCTTCTTTATCAATCTGAGCTTCTTTGACGAAATGATTTTTAGCTAAATTGTAATATAATTTATATAGTTCCATAATAGAAGTAAATATCTTTGGGTCTCATCCATAAAATTCTTTATAGTCATCTTTAATTTTATGATATTTTTCTTCATTGGGGAATATTGTCATAGCTAACTTTAATATATATTTTTCTGGGTCTTCTGCTTGACGTAATTTTATAATTTGCTCTTTATAACTACATGAACTTACCTTCTTTTGGCTTTTTATAATAGATGTCTGCTTTAACTACATTAATTAAAGCTTGCTCAACTTCTTGATAGGTAGGCTTGGTTTGAATATCTTTTGTATCTTGAGTTTGATTACTCATTGTATATGCGTATTGGTACGAAATTCCTTATCTGTTACTTATAAAATATTTTTATTCAATTTGAAAATTAATATGTACTAGGCATATATAAAAAATGCAGTTAGGTGAATATATATGTGATTTCCTTTTATATACTGGAGAGATATGTGGATAGTCATATATAAATCCTAAAGGGTGTTGGTGTCATAAAAATGCTATTAGGCATTATTCTTGTACTGATTGTGGTAAACCTACTTGGTCTAAAAGTGGTAGATATTCTGACCATATTAGAAGTTATTATATTAGCAAACATTATCAAAAGTATTATAAAAGAAAAATAGATACTTAATTTTTGGCACCTTGATTTATATATAATATCAGGTGTGACGATGAGATTAATTTTTGTCGTCATCTGATTTGATTATAAAATATAAAAAAAGTGAGTTCTAGCTATATAATTTTTGGTACCCAGGTTTTTATATAGGTACTAAAGAGTTGTTATAGAATATAGGTTTACAGGAACATGAAAAAGGTAAGATGACTACTTTAGTACCCAGGGTACTAAAAAATTGTCCCAAAACTTCCATTTTGCCCCTACTAAGGAAGAGGATAGCAAGACTATAGTTTCTACCACTTGTTAGTTACCTACTTCGCAATCCCAGAAAAACAATACAAGTGGCAAATTTAGCTGAATAGCCTCAGCCAACTCAAAAACAAAAAGGTGAATGCCTAAGCTATCAAATTCAAGAAGCTCCTAAGTCGAATAGACCCAGAAAATTCATTACCTGCCCAATATATCATACAAATGTTTCTAAGTGGATTAAAAGAAAAAATGGCAACTTTTGTAGCAGTCACCTCACCAGACAACCTGAACAAAGCAATTGTAGCAGCATGAAAGGTGGAAGCCAGTAAATATTATAGTGCCTACACGCATGAAGCTCTGGTAATCTCTGACAAGAAGGATAAGTTAATTGAGGTATTAGTTAAGCAAGTGCAGCAACTATTAGTCAACAAAGTTGCTGCAACTAATCAACAGAAAAAGAATATACACAAAAAGTATAGGGAGAATCCCAAACCCCAGAGAGAAATTGTTTGTTACTGGTGTGGTGAGAAGAGACATATCGCGAGGCATTGTATATTGAAAAAGAAGTATCAAGAATCTAAGGAAGAGAAAAGATGTCTGACTAATAATGTAAGAAGAGTGAACTACTGCAAGTATAAAGAAAATGAATTATACGTAGTAGATAAAAGAAAGTAGCAAGTACAACCTGATACCTCTAATAAAAGACCAAGATTGTAGCCAAAATCGAAGTGGGATAATAGACTTCGACTTCAAGCAGAAAATAAACTACTTCGGGTAGGCATAGAAGACTAGTTAGTGCCTATAGAGTTGGGGGAGTCAGGACCAATAAAGAAGCCAAAAAGAAAAAGA